TAATTGTTTCTGCCTTAAATTAATACATTGTTAGCTTACTGTGTGATTTGTATAAGTACATTTCTGAAATAAATAACTTGGACATATAGTCACCTCTGATAACAGATCACTCTAAATTGTAATGTAGACACATGCATTTTCTGTAAAGATGCTTTGAAATAATAGATTGTGAAAAGCGCTATACAAATAAATGTGAATTGAATAGAAGATAGATAGATAGATAGATAGATAGATAGATAGATAGATAGATAGATAGATAGATAGATAGATAGATAGATAGATAGATAGATAGATAGATAGATAGATAGAGACAGACAGACAGAAAATTATCCATACATTTTAAGAACAATGCAACATTTTAGAATCTACTATTCTCAGAATATCTTCAGGCTCAGCACTTCTTGTTAATGATATTTCAGCATGTGAAGACTGCACCTCTAGGGCTGATTTCTGTTGATGCACCACAACTCCAACACTTCATAGTGCATTAATGGGAAATTATCATTTGCTTTATGAGTTTACTGAGGGCTAGGTTTGAGCAAGGCTGTAAAAACATGTTATGTTATCATACGTTCTAAAATAATCAACAAGCCTGTTAGTATCATTTATTTTTTTAACCCAGAGGCCTGAGGTTCAGAATTGTGTGATTTTTATTTATGGCAACATGCTTGTTCAAGCTTAAAATATATAAAATTCATCCCTAAATACATTAATATTGATCTAAATAATGCAGAATTACATAGAATTACATACATACCATTGAAAAGTTTAGTCAAACAGTAGGCTAATATTGTGAAATATTATCACAATCTAAAATATATATTTTTAATACATTTAATTAATTACCAATCACCATCGCTCACCTGCAGGTGATAGGTGCGTGGGAATTTGGGAAATGAGTCAGGTCAGTCAACTGATATGCCTGATGAAGGTCATGAGACTGAAACGTTGCTAATAAAAGTTTGATACTCGTTTGCAAGTATTGATACAGGATTTCCTTGTTTTTTTTTAAATACATTAAATTAAATTAACTTAATTATTGTTTTATTTAAAATAAATATTTTTTTTCTCTTCTCGTGATGGCAAAGCTGATATTTTTGCAGGAATTACTCCAGTCTTCAGTGCCACATGATCCTTCAGAAATCATTCTACTTTGGTGCTAAAACATTTCTTACTTTTGCCAATGTTGAAAGTTGTTCTGCTTAATATTTTTGTGGAAACAGTGAAACCATTTTCAGGAGTCTTTGATTAATTAAAATTCAAAACAACAGCATTTATTTGAAATTTTAAATCTCGTGAAAGCCACACAATAACTTTGTGTGAGGAACAGAATGCAATTTATATTACTTTTTAAAAAGTAGATTTTGATTTGACTGAAATCAACCTTTTAAAGTGCATGTCAGGCCATCAGACTCTAATAATTATAGCTACAGTGTAATCTCTATGGATAAAAGCATATTGACAGTGTGCTATTTACTTAATTTCTTTCACTGTTTCACAGGAGAGAAACAAAAACTGGTAAACAAAAAAAAAAAACCCTACAACAAAAACATGTTTGTTTGTTTGTTTTAGGATTGAAGCACATATGAGATGATACTGAAAATAGTCCTAATGTAGCCTATTTCACAAGTCTGTCTAAACAGAATAGCAGAAGCCAAGAAAAGTTTCAGCACTTCTTTAAACTATAAATATTTCATTGCGTCAGAGATAAAATGTTGCCTGTTCGTACGAATTTTACGAGGTGGCTAATTCGTACGAATTCATACCTCACTCTTACGAATTTGTACGGTTTTTACTAAATCGTACATATTTTACGAGTTGCACAATTCGTACGAACGACCCCTGACCCCGCCCCTAAACCTAACCACATGGGGTTTAGACAAATCGTACGAAGTCACGTTTTACTCACTCGTACGAATTGGTCCTGAGATAGCGTTTATCTTTGGTGCCAAAAAGGAATTAGCCCTATTTAAGGAGTCCAAGAGTATACATTACATGCACTACGTCACAAGTAAAACAATAATTTAATACTAGATACAGGATCAGCCTAAAAACAAGCTAATACCGCTGAGCTGTATCAATGGAAAACATAACATTGACTGGAGTGGACTTTGCCCAAGCTCGACTATAGATCTCAATCTCATGGATGTAACTCAGACAGCCATAATAATTACATGACATCATGACATATTGAAAGATTTTCGCAATGTGAGCATGTACCGCGGCTTTGTCTCAATTATTTTTGCCAAAGTCCTAGGGGTGTTTCTCAAAACCAAGAATGCAAAGAACGGACTTGTGTTCTAGGGGAGAACGCTCTTGCTAGTTGTTCTTGGAAGAATGAACTCACAAGGTGACGAGCACACAGAACGCTGCTGACAGTTTAAGACGATGTGTTCTTGCTGGTATTGCGCAATAATTCCCCCGCACAGACACCGTCTGCAGTACCCAAACATAACGAGAATTATTGACGATAACAGCCAGGCTGCAATGGTCTCTTGGCTGTGGGGAAAAACGAGTCTGTGAGCAAACTGGCCGGTTGGCTCGATAGCTAACGTTACACCCGCAGGCGCTTATGGAGATTCTCACTTCCGAAAACGTTTGAGCACATTTTCGATTAGCCATACATTTTCGTAAAATGCCAATATTTGAAATCTACACAGTTGATTTCTCGCATCAAATGTTCTCAGAAGTTAATTTAGTGATGAAATAGTGTACGTAATTGTAGAAAAACGAAATACTGTATTGACCTGCCTCTCCTTCCTCGAATGCCGAATTGAATGCTGGGATATTTCTCCCGTCAAGTTCACACAAGTTACCAGCCGATGCATCCTCGGTAAAATGGGCGTGTCAAGAACACATCCGGGATTTTTAACTGTTCTTGCCAAAATGCAAACTTGTGTATTGGGACAGTACTTGGGCCACAAAAGATGACGTTTCACAAGAACACAAGGACACAAGTACAGACAAGAACACAGATTGAGAAAGGCCCCTAAAGTCTTCTTCTTCTTCTTCTTCTTCTTTTCTATCATGGCGGATTGCAAGCAACTTAAGATGCATACCGCCACCTACTGTTCATGAGTGTGTAGCAACATTGTTTTACATCTATTAAATTCTATTTTTTAATTTTGTATTCTGAAGATAAATAAATAATGCTTTCCTTAATCTATAAATATCTTTTATATTTCCTTTATTTCCCAATAATCCTTTAAGACTCCATTCTTGGCCTGTCCTTTCAACTACTCTTCTCAATTTCTCCCTTTCAGGTTCATATGTTTTACAGTTCATCAATACATGTTCTATATTTTCTATCTCTCTACATCCTTCACATTTATCATTATTTTTCCTCCCTATTAAATATAAATTGTCATTTAAATAAGTATGACCTACTCTTAATCTGATCATTATTATTTCTTCCCTTCGGTTTCTCTCATTAATATTTCTCTTTACTACTGACTTTTGTACTTTATATAATCTTCTTCCTTTTTATCTTCATTCCACCTTTTTGGCCAATTTTCAATTTCTTTCCTCTTAATAAATGATTTTCCTTCCCCTTTCCCTAAAGGAATTGTAATTGCTATTGCCTCCTCTAAAGCCCTTTTTGCTAATTTGTCTGCCTTTTCATTTCCTTTTACCCCTTCATGTGCTGGTACCCAACAAAACCAAATATCAATGCCACCCCTGTATAATCTAAATAAACTGTGCTGAATTTCTAATACTAAATCTTTCCTATTATTTCCTTCTCCCTGAATACTTTCTAAAGCTGCTTTGGAATCCGTGCATATCACCACCCTATCTGGTCTAACCTCCTCAACCCATTGTAAACTCAATATAACTGCCACCATCTCTGCTGTGAAAACTGATAGTTGATCTGACATTCTTTTAGAAATGTGTATTTTGAACTCAGGAATATATATTCCCATTCCCACACACCCTTTTAAATTCTTAGACCCATCTGAATATATTTTAAGGTATAATAAGAGTTTCTTAAATATATATCTGTATCCCTATTTCGTTTAAATTCCATTCATTTTTCATTTTAAGAAGTCTCGTGTCTACATTTATCTCAGGAAATAACCATGGAGGAACAACACTAATTGGATTACATTGTGCTATTTCCTTATCCTCTAATCCAAACTCTTTAATCAATTTGCTTATAACCCATCCAAATCCATATATGGAACTTTGAATATTCCCAACAAGTTTTTAGAATTGTTGAAGTTACATTTTCATCCATACTACTTTTAATTTTCATCCAATATACTAAACCTAATTTCATTCTTCTCATTTCCAGTGGAGTTTCTCCAGTCTCTACTAAAAGAGCATTGATAGGTGTTGTTTTCACTGCTCCTGTACATATACGTAAAGCTCTACTCTGTAATCTATCTATCCTTTGTAGTGTTGTTTTAGCTGCTGCTCCATAAATAAAACTGCCATAATCTATTATTGATCTCATAAGAGCCCTGTATATGTTTAATAATGACTGTCTATCTGCACCCCAGTTATTTCCAGCCACAGCCTTTAAGAGATTTATAACTTTCTTACATTTAGTTTCCAAGTTATCTATATGTGTTTTCCATGTATAAGAGCTATCTAACCATAGTCCTAGGTATTTAAATTCTGTAACCCTTTCCAACGTCTGTCCATATAATGTCATTGTTCCTATATCAATATTTCTCTTATTTGTGAATACCATAAAACAAGACTTGTTTGCTGATAATTTAAAACCCCATTCATAAGACCATTTTTCTACTTTATTAATTGATTTCTTAATATTTCCTACTACATGTTTTATATTCTTTCCTCTCATCCATATGGCCCCATCATCTGCAAATAATGCAGATTTAATATATTTAAGTCCTAAAGTCTTTGATATAACGGACTTTTGTGACGCCCGCTTCCGCCACGAGCTCAGACTGTCTGGTGGCGGAAGCACACGTCATAGAGCGCGTTCCACGTTACGTAAAGTGCGTTACACTTTCCTCGAAATGTGGAGGCGGGTGTAAGAACGTAACAAGTAAGTACGTAATTGTCTTTGAGAATGGCGTTTCCGCAGTGGGGTCTGAGATTTGTGCTGTGCGCAGCGTGAGTGTTTTAGTACCGAGCGGAGAGGAGATGCACACGGCACTCGAGTGAGGTAAACTATATAAAACCCGCTTTGTTTTCATACACTCCCACAACATGGACCCGAGCAGCTTCAGATGGGTCAATGAGAGCAGGGTATTACGATAAAGCCGTGAAAATGTTTTGACTTGTTATTGATTTGATAGCTGTCGGCGCTAGCAGTGTTAGCAGCTGCTATTTAGATTTATTTCCGCCGATTGCGCTTTTTAAACTCGCTGCTCCACTAACTGCATTTCCCTGCTTTAGATACACGTGTTTATTGCGAATCCTGTTAATAAGATAGACATTTGTTCACGGCATTGATTAAGATTTGCGCCGTGAAGAGGAAGTGTGGGGTTTAATGGTATGTTTGGGCTTTAGGATCAGTCATGTGAAGAAATGAAGGGTGTTGTAGTCCTAAAGATTGTCTCGTGCTGGTTTATTTATAAAACCAAATGTTCCTGTTTTGCTGGTTTTCCTTAGACTGCAGAATTAATCTTTTTTTCTTTTCTTTTTTGAGGTGTCTGTGCACATATGCTTAATTTATCCTTTAATTACAGTTGACAATGTCAAATTAAAATGGCCAATTAAACTTGGGTTGTGTTTTGAATGTGGTGTTATAATGCAGATTGTTTAATTCCAGTTTCTTTGCACATTTTCTGGGCCCAGACAGTGCAACATGTTTGTTTCCAAATGAATTTTGAGTAACATTTGGCAGATCCCATCCCAGTCTAACCTGACCAGCTGAAAAGTGTCCAAATCCCTTCGAAAACCAGTCTGGCGAGGCTGGAAGACCAGCTGAAAAGACCAGCTTTTATTTTTCTTCTGATAAGTTGACTTTATTTATATTTTAGCCTACATAAATCAAGTCAAGCACTGTTTGGTTTGCAATATGGTTTTAGAACGGTGTTACTCCAATAGACATAAACAGTCATTTTAATATAGTTTAATGTAGGACAAGCATAAACAAGATACTACTCTTTACGTTTTAATGCTGGAAATGTGACATAATGACTGGACAAATGGTGGCACTGCTGCAGTGAAATGGTGATGCTGTTTTCCTGTTCTGCTAGTGCACACCTGCAGAAACCTTCCTCTGTTTAACCGTGCCTAACCACAACAACTGCTGTTTGTGGATCTACAGTGCCTCTACTTCTATGTTAACCCAGTTCAAAATGTGGAAAGGGAAATCTAAAATCTTTAATCCCAAATTACTCCATAAAATGTGTTAATTTCTTAAGGCCACTTTGTATTTACCTCCTTTGACATTTACAAATCCTGTTTATTTTTATTTTTTTATACCTAGCTGAGTGGTCATGCAATTTGTTTTTTAGCATTTTATTTGATTTTTTTTTAACATAAAAGCAGTGTAGTTTTTATCAGTGGAGACTCTGAGGATACAATAAATACAATGTAGCCTATTGTTTGAGGTGAAGTAGTAAATGCTGGGGGGGGGGGGGGAGGTTGGCAAAAATGTGACGATTCGATAGTATTGCGATATTTGGGTCACAATTCAATATTATTGCGATTCGATTCTGCGATATGTTGCGATTCATGTCCCCCATATTATTCAAAGGCATTACAAAAATAAGACTGCTCAACTCACTTCAAATGTCACATTTAATTCTGTGAACATTATCTTCTACACCTTAACTGAAGTGCAAAAACTTAGGAGGATAGTGCAAAAACGTTGTCCTTGAACATTCAGGATACAGGACCTTATTACAGGACAGGATGTAATTCTCTGAATTGGAGACCTCACATGAATGGTGAGCTCCCAGCACATAACTTAAAATTATTTAAATACAATAGAGTAACATAAAGCAGACATAATAGAGTAACTTAACCTGAGAATAATCATATAAATAATGTCAAGATTGTTAATAAATAATGTCTTTACTATTCGTTTTTTGATGAAAACCGAAATTTACCCACACTTTCGATTTTGAAAGAAGACGGAGCGTCGTGTACAACCGGTTGTGATGGTGAAACCATTTTCATTTGAATTTGCTGTTGAATGCACGACAACAAAGCACCGCAACAAGCGCCACCTTGTGGATGTAATACACAAATATAGAGTAAACTCAGAGAATCCAATGGAGACAACCCGAAAGTAAAACGGATAATTTTATAATTAAATATTGCAATACTTTGCGCTGGCTACTGTTTCGATATAATTGCGTGCGCAAAATATCGCAATACTGAACAGAATCGTTTTTTCCCCCCACCACTAGTAAATGGACCTACCAGACTCCTTAATAGGTATAGATGATTGCGATTTAGTAGTATTGCAACTTCAGTTCTGCCTGAGAGTCTTTGCAGCCATGCTAATTACAGCATCGTTCGGTATGGCCATTCAAAAATATCTGTTAAATATGTCGGTAAAAATGGATGGAAAGACAGATTTTGGTGAAATGTAATAACGGATGTAATGGATTACTTATTGTTAACACGCGTCTTCATAAGAAGTAGTATTTCAAATACATCCTCCACTTCATTGACAACAGTAGATGTGTGATATTTGCTTTGGCTTAAGTAAATTGTTGGTCCAGTGTGAGAAGTACGTGTTGTCTGACTTGACTGCTCATTTTGTTGACTGCTTCTGCCGACATTTGTATACTTTCAAGGTGAGGAGTTTGTCATTTCAGATGAGCTTAAGGGCTTGGGACTGTGTGCGTTCTTCAGGCGCCAATTAATGTTGTTGTGTCGCGACTGCGTTTACTTGCAGCTGTAGAGTCGTTAGTGGAATTTAGGTTGGCTCAAATCAACATGGCAGCAGAAATACGTAGGCCTAGTTATTAACAAATATAGCAGATTGTGTCCTTTCACTGTGTTGAGGTGAATGGGAATGCCAATGGATAGCTTTTTCAATGAATGTTTCTAACCACTGATACAGTTTGGTACAACCCAAGTGTGCCATTAGATAATAGTAATACATGCTGCTAACACAATATATAAGTTGAGAAATTTTCAACTGGTTGATTCTTTCTGAAAGTTGAACATTTTGCATGTATTTATTTGACTATGAACAGTCTCAAACAAAGTCGTTTTACAGACCAGCATTAAACAAGAATTAGTCAAACAGGTTGGCATTTTATTACGCGACTTGCCCAGTCTTAATCAAATAAGACTTCACATTTGGTAATAACAGCCCATAAGATTGTTCACATGATCAGCTATAGGTGCCTGTACAGAGCTGTTAAGAATTTAAGGGATTAAATGAACATGAACTCAGTGGAGGGGGTCTTAAGATTTAAGGGGTCTTGGCATGTGCCTGAAAATCTACATTTTATAATATCACATTAAACACTTTAAGTTAGCTAGGTTTAGTGGAGTATTTTATATATTTGTGCCTAAAAAGCCTATGGTCTATTCCAGGTGACTGGTTTTAGTAATTATTCCCATGTTCAAGACCAAATAATTAGGTCAGGTATTTAGGGTTTATATAACTAGTCTTGAACATTCAGTTACCATGTGTATTCAGTGTAAAATCTCTATATTTAGGCTATGTAGGCTAGTACTAAAATGCACATGCAAAGTTTTAAGTCTCGACTTTTACTTCCTTCCTAAATTTTGGAGCAAAGTGTGGCAACGTCATATAATGTCACATTAGTCATCATGTTAATTCTGATATAAAGGAACTTTCAGAGATTTCCATGATTCAGAGTTTGCTCATATCTTAAGTCTTGAACATCTGCATTAGCATGCATATTGTGCCAAGATGTTACCATTTAACTAGGTGCTTAAAAGGAGGACACATTTAAGATGCTTAATTCTCCATGTGATGTCATGTCCCTTTCTTAAGGAATAAGCTGTTCTTAAGCATAGCTTTACAAGTTTGGTGTGAGGATTTGCATTGGGCCTACAGAAAGGTATTTGAATGTTTTATGGGTTCTCATTGCAGTCAAATAGAGATGGAAAAAGTATTCGCGGCTGAATCAGCATTGGCAGATAGCCTATATTTAAAGGTGCAAGCAATGTGTAATAATTTCGAGTATCTATTAACAGAAATGCAATATGACATCCATAACTATGTTTTCAGTAGTGCTGCCGCGATTAGTCGACGTAATCGACCATGCAAATTAGTCGACGGCAATTTTTTAGTCGACGTGTCGTTTTACTATTGACCGCTATTTATTTTTGGTCTCCCATCACAAACGGCTCACTGTAATTCACCTCCACACACCAGTCTGTGCGCCGTGCGCGCCCTGCTGGTTTATCTGCTATCATTTTCCTTCACGTTCCCGCCCGCCTTCACTGCTTTGATATGAAAAATTGCGGAGGCAGGTGACGGAGCTTTCATAGTGGGCTCGTTTGCTGCGGTCCGAGCGCGAGCGCGATTGTTCCCGGCGCCCCCCGCAGCGTTGGTCTGGTTTCACACTCAATTCTATCGAACCCTGTTGAGTTTGCGTGCATCTTATGCCATCGCAAACGTGCACGGCGCATGATAGAAAACAGAACGCGGGTCAATATATTGTGTTTTTCAAACGGACTCTTTTGAGGAGACAGTGGATTTCCAAATGTGTTGCCCTGATTGCACGCGCAATGCGCGAATACACTGCAGACTCAACTCTCGCGTATCCAAGGTAAATCATCAACACCATCATCCCTTACATGTGTTTTATTTAACTAAATCCATCATAATCAGCTAAAACGCATGGGCAGGTTACTTAACTTCCTGAACAAGCGCTCCCGAGTCCGTGTTGCTTTCACATTCACGCGAACCGCGGCACGGGCCCGCCATGCACGCAAGTGTAAACGCGAGCTACATAACTGCGTGCCTGCCTGCTTTCAGCGCGACTCATAGTGGGCTAGTCCAGACTCTTTCAATTCAATTCCAATTTATTTGTATAGCGCTTTTCACAGAAAATGCATTGCATCTACTTTACTATTCAGAGTGATGTTATCAGTTATGCTTTTCAGAAATGTACATAAATTAATCATTATTAGCTTACTGTACATTTTTTAAGGCAGAACAAAGAGCTAATTTAAGTAATACATACATGTTTGTTATTAGAGGATTAGATTAGGACT